ACCTTCTTCGACCGATAAGTTATTCATTTTGATCTTCTGTTGCTTCGACTTTCATGGTGTCTTTTTTTACTCCCTCCCTTTATGTAGTAGGGTCAGCTTAACTTTTGTTTTTGCGGTCATGTCGGAGGGCTGCGAGAAGAGTGAAGGCTCCTACCCTCGCTTTTCATCAGTCGGGTGCATCTACTGGGTCTCTACTCGCTTTGACTGCAAGCAAATTCGTACCGATTGCTACTGCTTCAGACCTCGGCAGGACCTTCGGTGGAGACTTCGACTTCTCCTATATTGCACTTAGTGGATGAGTCATCTCCGAGCAAGGAGGAACCGATTCCGTTAAAAAGGCGGAGAATAGAAGTTGGCGGCGAGACATCAGGAAGTGAAGGGTTAACAAGGGGTGATCCCGAGCTGGCCACGGCCGCATCCGAGGGCAGCGTGGCTTCAAACACTGAGACTTTGCCCCTTTCAGATGTAGAAATTTCTCCCCTTTTGAGGAGTGATCTGTCGCCGTCGGGGTAGCCCGCATTCCTTGCTCTGCCGATGAGAGGGGGAAAGGTGTGGCTTTAGATGGCTATGAGTTCGGTTTTGACATCGATTCCGAAGAGATATGGATGTTCGATGAGGGGTTTACTCGGGTAAAAGTGAGGACGGAGGGATCTACTCGCACCATAGTCATTCCCTTGGACTGCGACTTGTTGGTGAATACAGAGAGCGTAGTTCCTTCATTGCTTCCTCTCTTCTCTAGCTCAGAGAATAGGACTTTACGGACGTTTAATGATGCCAATATGTCATTAGGCATATTCAGAATGGCTTTGAAGGTATGTTTTTTTTGTTTCTGTTGTTCTTGTTACCTTACGTCCTTTCTCCTTTTTGTTTTTACTGACTCTTTTTGGCTCTTCCTTTTTCACTAGACTCTCATTTTAGATATTGAGAGCTCCCGCCGAGAGGAGAAGCGGAAGGTTGTTTTTAAATAAATGGTTTTGAAGTTTCATAAGTACCGTGAGATACGTGCCCGATTCAGCGTGGATGGTAATTTCCAGTCTCTTAGAGATGAGTTGAGGAAGAAAGACGATGAACTCGTGAGGGTCATCAACAAACATAGTGAGCTCGAGGGATCTCTTAGAGCCAAGGAGGACGAGCTTAAGGTGAGTAGGGGGTCGCGGCTGAGTGTGCTGATCTTCAGGCCCAAGTGGCATCCCTACGGGCTGAACTTGAGCAAAGTTCGACCAGGGCCAATGACTTGAGTGATGATTTGATCGAGAAGATGGCAGAGTTGGAGAAGGTTGAGAAGGCCAGGATAGCGGCTTTGGCAAGGGTGGCAGCATCGGAGGAGGTCGTCCGCGTCCTCCGATCTGAATGGGCGAGTGAAGCGGAGGCGGCCGTGCTCAGCGAGTCCAGGATTGAAGAGTGGGTTGGCGAGCTTGAGGGAGAAGTTTCAAATTTAAATGATCAGCTCACCGTTTTTGGGGCCGAAAAGGCGCAGCTATTGACTCGACCATCTTCCTCTCGCACTTCCGCTTATCCTGATGTTGTGCGAGATTCATATGAGAAGTGGATCCATGCCGAGGCACAGCTAGACATATTTACGGACTTGATGGCGGCAGGGAGAATTACTGAGGTTGAGTTTGAGGGTGCTAGTGCCAAGGCGCGCACAACTCGAGTCGCCTATGGTTATGATCCCGCCATGCCACGGGCGGGCAATGATGAAGACGAGCTGGGCGGAATCAAGAAAAGTGCTTGGAATGATGATGCATACTCTACCGGCAAGGATGAAGGCGGAGATGATGCCACTGAGTGATGCTTTTGTAATCTTTTTATACTTTTGTGGGCGTCTGTTCGGCCCTTGTAAGATACCTTTTTGATTTGGAATGCTACTTTTGCTAATTATTTCTGAGTATTCTATTTTTTCCTTGAATGGTTTCCTCGATTGATTGTCTTGATTTAAAAGAACTGTTGGTAGGCGTTAACTCGAACATGGCCGAGTGTGTCTTTGATTAATTCGAGCAAAGTTAAACGTCGCCATAATTAATTCGGACGAGGTTAACTGTGAAATGAAATTCGAGCTAGGTCAAATGTGGGTCGATTCGAGCGAGGTCGAATGTTACTCTTAGTTAATCGAGCGAGGTCGAATGTGAGTTGATTCGAGCGAGGTCAAATGTTACTCTTAGTTAATTCGAACGAGGTCGAATGTGAGTTGATTCAAGCGAGGTCGAATGTTACTCTTAGTTAATTCGAACAAGGTCGAATGTGAGTTGGTTCGAGCGAGGTCGAATGTTCTCTTAATTAATTCGAATGAGGTCGAATGTGCGTTGATTCGATCAAGGTCAAATGTTCTCTTAATAATTTAAACGAGGTCGAATGTGAGTTTCTTGATTAGTGTGGTGTTAAAACTTGGTGGGGACATAGGCGAACATCATGTGTTTGTATGATTTGCTTACATATATACATTGAAGAAGTTTACTCATTTTTCGGTCTGGTATTCTAGTCCCAGTCTACCTAGTCCCTTTATTGGTCGACCTGGAGAAATATTCGAGGGGTCAAGCAATGAACTTGCTAACTTGTATTCTCACCTGCTTATGCTTAACTTCAAAATGTCTTCCTCGTCGCCTCGTTAAAAACCTCCCCGAGAAAACCCAATTGGGACAAAACTCAAGTGGGGGAAAAAGAGTGCGGCTCGGAGAACATCTTTCCTTAAAAGATGAAGTACTTGAGGTGGGCGATGTTCCAGTTGTTTGGCAATAGTTTTCCTTCCATCGTTTCTAGTTGGAACGACCCTTTCCTTGCTGCCGCCGTAATTTTGTACGGGTCGTCCCAATTAGTCCCTAGATTTCCTTCTCGTGGGTCCTTGCTTGCTCGTGTTTTGGCTTTGAGTACGTAGTCCTCGATTTTGAGCAGTCTGATCTTGGCTTTTTTGTTGTAGTATCGCTCTTCCTGTTGTTTCTGGGCGACCATCCTGATATAAGCCATGTCTCTCCGTTCTTTGGCCTCATCGGGGTCTTGCTCCTGCTTTTGTCGTTTCTCGGCCCGCTTTCGTGTGAGTACCTTAGACTTGGTTCTCCGACCTCGACAGGTATTACTGCATCGGTCCCATAGACTAACGAGTATGGTGTTTCTCATGTGTTTGTTTTTGGCATTGTGCAGTATGCCCATAGCACTTCTAGTAGCAACTCCGGCCACAGTCCCTTGGCGTTCTTGAGCTTCTTCTTCATGATATTCAATATTGACTTGTTGGAGGACTCTGCTTGCCCATTGCCCGCGGGATGGTATGGCGTAGAGAGTATTATTTTGATATGCCATTTCTCGAAGAACTCGGCGATCATTTTTCCAGTGAATTGAGGCCCGTTGTCACAACTGATTCCATTGGGAGGCCGAAATGACACACGATATTCCTCCATATGAAGGCGATCACTTCTTGCTCATGTATTTGGGCAAATGCACCTGCTTCCACCCACTTGAAAAATAGTCAGTTAAAACCAATAGAAATCGTACATTACCTCGTCCTGCTAGGAGGGGTCCGATGATGTCCATCCCTCATTTGATGAAAGGCCAAGGCAAGGTGACTGAGTGGAGGTGATCGCCCGCTTGGTGTATCATAGGGGCGGATCTTTGGCATTGTTCGCATTTTTGAACGAAGTCGACCGCCTCTTTTTTCATTATAGGCCAGTAGTAACCTGCTCGTATGAGGCATCTGACTAGGGCTCGATTGCCGGTATGAGCTCCGCAGTGGCCTTAGTGGACTTCCTCTAGAACGTGTCGCGTCTAGTTTGAGCCTAAGAATTTGCTAGTGGGCCGCTATACATTCTTTTGTACAAGTCGTTGTTGACGCTATACCTTGCCGCCTACATTCGAAGCTTTTTGGCTTCTTTTTTGTCGTGTGGAAGCACTCCGCCCTACAAATATGTGACAATACGGTTGCGCCAGTCCCAAGTTAGTTTTATAGTTCGTACCTCAATTTGATCGATCAACGAGTGGAGGAGAGTGACCACGTTTCCTTCTTCGGTTATGCATTTAGTGGCCACAGCAAGTTTGGCAAGGCTATCGGCTTTGATATTCTATGCTCGAGGGATTTGATCGAGCTGGCATTCGTCGAACTCGGGTAACAACTTGCAGATCTCGGCCTGGTATTTTTGTAATCTTTGTTCCTTGATTTGGAAAGTCCCTGTGACTTGATTGACGACGAGCTGAGAGTCGCACCGTAGGATGACTCGTTTCGCTCCGTACTTGAGTACTAACTTTAGCCCTGCTATACCGACCTCGTACTCGGCTTTGTTGTTAGTCATATATGGGCATCTTATGGACAGGCGAGTTACTTCGCTTGTTGGGACCTCAAGCATGAGTCCCAGTCTCGATTCTGACGCACTAGAGGCTCCATCGGTATACAAAACCCATAGGTCGTGTATTCTGGGGGAAATACGAGTGGCTTCCTTTTCGACTTCAGGCATTATTTTTGTGCTAAAGTCGGCGATGAAGTCGGCAAGCACTTGCGACTTTATCGCCTTCCATGGATGATAGGTTATATCATGATCTCTCAATTCTATGGCCCATTTGGCCAACCTGCCCGACAACTCAGGTTTGTGCAGAATACTCCTTAGGGGAAAGGTTGTGACCACCGAGATGGGGTGACACTGGAAATAGGGTCTAAGCTTTCGTGAAGCTATGAACAAAGCCAGGAATAGCTTCTCGAGGTGTGGATACCTTGGCTCGGCGTCAACCAGAGTTTTGCTAATATAGTAAATGGGAGATTGCGTACCTTTGTTTTCTCGCAACAGAACCGCACTCACGGCCACATCGGATACGGTCAGGTAGATGAGGAGACGTTCCCTGGGTTCTGCCTTAGCAAGCAGTGGGGTGAAGACAGGTATGCCTTTAATTCTTTCAAGGCTTCGACACACTCGGAGTTCCATTGGAGTCTCTTTCTTGAGTACGCCGAAAAATTTATGGCATCTGTCGGAGGACTATGAGATGAATCTTTACAAGGCAGCTATGCGGCCGGTCAGCTTCTGTACCTATTTCTTACTGGTCAGGTTCTCCGGTATTCCTTCTATAGCTATGATTTGGTCAGGGTTGACCTCGATGCCTCGTTGTGATACCAAGAAGCCAAGGAACTTTCCCGAGGTTACGCCGAAGGCGCACTTTTTGAGGTTCAATTTCATACCATATCGTCTAAGTATGTCGAAGGCCTCTTTCAAGTGGTCGATGTGATCCTCTTTCCTTTTTGACTTGACCAACATGTCATCCACGGTTTTGTCAAGCTGGTCATTGAACATTTTTGTCACCAACCTCTGATACGTCGCCCCCACATTTTTTAGTCCGAAAGGCACCACCCTGTAGCAGTACGTCCCCCGGTGAGTGATGAAAGTGGTCTTTTCTTGGTCTTCCTCCTCTATGAGGATCTGGATATAGCCCGAGTAGGCGTCCAAGAAGCTTAATAGCTCATGCCCGACCGTTGCGTCAATGAGCTGGTCAATACGGGGTGCTAAGAATGAGTCTTTCAGGCAGGCTTTGTTCAGATCCGTGAAGTCTACGCACATCCGCCATTTCCCATTCTTCTTTTCACCATGACCACGTTGGCAACCAATTGAGGGTACTTTGGTTCTCTGATAGAGCCGTTTTCCAGTAGTTTTTCAACCTCCTCGCGGACCGCGTCATTTATTGCAGAGTTGAATTTTCGCCTAACTTGCCGCACTGGGGGGGTAAAATGGGTCAACATTCAACTTGTGTGTCGCTATTTCTTTCGGAATGCCCAGAATATCTGCATAGGAAAAGGCAAACAAGTCTGTTGTTAGCTAAAAATTGATGGAATTTACCTGGTTCCTGAAGTTTGTGGCTGGTGTATGCTTTTTTTTTGTGGTCGTCTTTGTCGAGTTGTACGGGGTCAAGATCCTCGACGATCGACCCTGTAGCCTCTATGATTTCGGGGTCCCTGATGACATCTTTCCCTCCGGCATCAACTGACCCGACCTTGTTAATTACTATACGGCCTCGACTTTGCCTTTCAATTGTTGGGTGTGTGTGCAGTCTTGGGCAATGCGATAGCACTCTCGGATAGCACGTTGCTCTTCTCGGATGCTGAATACCCCTAAAGGGGTGGGAAATTTAATGACTTGATATAAGCTGGAGGGGACGACTTTCATGGCTTGTATCTAGGAACGACCTATGATGGCATTGTACGCTGTATCCTGGTCCATGATGTGGAACGTGGTCTCAAAAGTGACGCCGCAGGCAAGGACGGGTAGCGTGATTTCACCAGATGTTCGCTCAACTTCATTGTTAAAACCCGTCAGTGTGATGCAGCGTAGCATTATCCTATCCTCGATCTTCATTTATATGAGAACTCAAGGGTGGACAATGCACGCGTCACTCCCATCATTGACCAGAATTCGTCTTACGTCAGTATCTAGGATGCGTAAAGTAATAACAAGGGCGTCATAATGAGGAAAGACCAAACCATGGGTATCCGACTTATCGAAGATGATACACTCTTCGAGTTCGTCATACCGTTCATGCATGATTCACCGTTTTAGCTTATGGGTGGTCATGAATTTTACGCTGTTGATTGACGTGTTGCGGCCTCCTCCGATGATCATTTGGATGGTTCGAGTTGGGGAGGGCGATTTTGGTGGACCTTGATGTCGTGCGCATCCTCAAGAAAAGTTTTCCCTTCCTCGATCGCTCAAAAGTTCTTTCACATGCCCTTGGTGAAGCATGTTCACGACCCCTTGCCTTAGAGCGATGCAATCCTCGGTTTTGTGGCCCCGTTCCTGATAGAATTCGCCGAGGGTGTTTGACTTTCTGGTATTTGGGTCGAACCTCATCTTATGTGGCCATTTCACTTTTAGACCGAGCTTCTCCAGGGCGTAGACTATTTTTAGAGGGAGAAACATAGAAATTGTGAGCAGATAGTAGTGGAGGCATACCTATTTCGCTTCGGTGAGTCCCTGTTGGCGGCCTAGATATACCGTCGCCATGACAGAGAGGTGGTATGATGGCGGCTCTGACATATTTTTGATGTCTTTCACGGTTGGGTCGCGGGCCTGCCTGGTCCCTTTTGTTGTCATTTCTCCGATCTTTCCTGGATTCCATTTGGACTGAGGTTAGCCGTTGTGTCGGCCCGTTAAGGTCGTCCTCGTTAGCTCGCACTTCGGCGCAGTAGGCGTTGTGTATCTCATCCCAAGTGGTTAGGGGATATTTCATTAGTCGGCTTAATAATTTTCTGGTCGACCTCGAATTGTTCCTGTTTAAGCCGTTCTGGAAATTTGCTACTGCCATTCCCTTCTATACATTTGGTAAGGTTATCCTCACACGGTTGAATCGGGCGAGGAAATCTCTCAGTCCTTCATCGGGTGATTGTTTGCTGGCAAATATGTCATTCACCCTCGTCTCTGCTTTCTTATCCCCAGCATGGGCAGTTAAAAATCGAACATCTCTAAGGAATGTGCAGGTAGCTGTGAGTACCAAGTCAGTGCTCCCCGGGTGAAGGTTTAACCAAACTTCTTCAGCAATATAGAAAGACACTTGTTCTTTGGCGAGGTCGTTGCCCTTTACTGCAGTGACGTAGTGGTTTGCATGATCCTCAAGGTCCATCGTGCCGTCGTATATTTTCAAGTATGGCGGCATTTTGAAGGTTTTAGGTATGGCGTGTGGTGCAACTTCGTCACTGTACGGTTGTTCAACAAATTTTTTGGTAAGAGCTTGGTGCCTGGTATTTTGTCTACCCTTTCTTGATGCTCTTTCATTTGGTCATGGAGCATTTTGTTCTCGTTCTCCATCTCCTCCATCTTCTTCAAAATGGTTGTGAGGGTGTCGTTACATGCACCAATAACGTTGTGAGTAATACTTGTTACAAGAGGAGGGTCGTGCTGCTCATCTGTCGCTGGTGCGACGCAAACTCTCGCATCTTCTATGTTCGTCCTTTGGGTGGGCTTGTCGAGAATGTCGGTCAGCATGTTTGTCAGCCATGCTTCGAGCAGCTTTTTCACTACCTGTGGTACTTCTTCCATTGTGGATGTAGAGGCCCCTTTGCCGTGTGAAGCTGTGATGCTATCGTGAGGGAGGGGTGAACCACTCCCCCTGGGGGAGGCGTTTGGTGTTATGTCCTCAGCATCTGTCCTAGTGACTTTGTTGATGGTATTTAGGAGGTTGTTGGTAAGACTGGCCACTGCCTTCATTCTTGCCTCTCCATTACCTGCCATGTTCAACTATACACGCAAGAAAAGACAAGGTTTTGTGTTGTTTTTTTTAGATCTGAAAGAAACTAAGATTTTAACTAGAATATCTCCATAGACGGCGCCAAATTGTTTGACCAAAAAGTATAAAACTTTTTGTTAAACTAATTAAGTAAAAGATAAGGGGCTAATCCAAGTTAAAGATAACGACCTTGGATCTAAAATAGGTTTATGCGAATAATGTGGGACCACGTTAAAATGGATTTAATGCAATACACATTAAATGTTGAGGTTATTAATGGAATGAGATAATGATAAGCAATAAATACAATAAATGGCACTAAATGTAAATAGAGAGAATGATTCACCCAATATTGAATGAGGTGGATGACTCCTCTTTCGGACAATGATGTAAGACAAATGACTATGGGAATATTGGAGACTTTCTCGGATTTGATGTGAGAAATGTAGAATAAACAACAAATCGAATCTCTTTGGAAAAGCAATATTTGTATTTTTCTAGAGAGTCAACTTTTCAAGAGAGTTCTTATCATATAGATAACTTCATTAATTAAAAGTTGCGTACAAGGGTTGGTGCTCATGCACCACAGTACATATAGTAACATTAGATACATTTTCAGTTAGATACGAGGTCTCGTCCCTAAGGTTAACATGTTGGCGATCCTCGATGTCGTTGGCTGTTGTTGATCTAGCTAGGGTCAAAACTGATGTTTCAATAGCAGTTGTAGCTACTTGGTGACTAACAAAACATGACTGCTATTGTGATAGATTTCTTCGGTTGACTCTGGGATAGGTATAAAATGTGGAGTTGTGATTCCCAGTTGGTCTACCTGCAACTAACTTGACACAAAAAAATGTGGTTAAAATAAAACTTGCATCGTAGCATCATCTTGCATCCTACTTCCTGACTTCGCAAGTTGGTCTGCTACTCCATTTTATTCCCTGTACGCATGTCGAACTACTGTATCTTGTAGCATCCTGAGGAGGTGCCTGCAATCAGATACTAAATTAGTGTATTTAGAGTTATCTGTATCCAAAAGGGTAATTACCTCCTGCGCATCAGTTTCCACTTCCAGTGGTGTTAGTTGCATTTTATGGCTAGACTTAGCCCTTGTATGAGTGCCTGTAATTCTGATGTGATACAATAAACATGTGGGATTGGACCAGCATAGCCCAGTATCCAATCGCCTAAGTGATTCCTAATTACCACCCAATGCCATATGTATCATTGGTAGAAGAAGTTGCCCCATCCGTATTTAATTTGTAATAGTTAGGTTTTGGTGTATCCATTTAAGATTGGTTCTAACCCGTTTTGATGGTATGGCCTATGAAGCAGCCATATATGCTAACTCAATTAATTGATGCAAAACTAAATGAGGGCTAGGTTTGAGTGCTTTGTGGTCAAAGATATTCCGATTACGAGTGATCCAAATATTCCATAGACTCAACAGTATAAAAGTGTGTGTGTTCAATTTATAAGGGAGTTGAAGCCCTTTTAAGTGGATGAGATTATGAAGCCAAAGATTTGGGGAAGCCATAGTTGAGAATTTACGAATGTAACCAAAGATTCCTTGAATAATCCAATATTGTTTAGCATTAATTCAATTTAGGAAGATGTGATTTATAGTTTCGTGTACATCCAAACAGATAGGGCAAGTTGCAACTGGTGAGATGCCAATATAATTGAGGTAGTGTCTTGTTGGTAGTTTATTGTTTTGTAATAACCAAAGAAAAGTTTTGATTTTGAGCTGAATTGGCAGACTCCAAATCCATTTGAAATTATTGTGTGCATTTGGAAGTTGTGTGCCATTATTAGCTAGTGCCTTATACATAGTGTTGACAGTAAACTGACCATTGTTTTTAAGCGCCCAATAGAGTTGGTCGGTTTGTTGTGTATAGACAGAGCGATATTGTTTATTGCAATCCTTTTAAATATCCCGAGGAATAAAAAAGGGGAAGTTGGCTTGATTCCATCCCTGAGTTGTTAATACCCGAGAGAGCTTAAAAGCGTGATGAAACTGTGGTAGGGGCCCTACGAGGAGAGATCTCAAAGGCATCCCTGATTTGATCCATGGGTCAGTCCATAACTTAATATGTTCCCCTGTTCCAATTCGCTACTGGAGCCCGAGTCGACAGTGGTTCCAACCTTTTAGAATATTATGCCAAGTTAAAGAGTGATTCGTGACCGATGTTAGTGTAAGGTATTTATTTAAAAGAGTCTTATCCCAAAGAGATTGAGGTGTGAAAAATTCGCCAGGCCATGCTTGCTAGCAAGGCGTTATTCTTAGTGCTAAGATTTTGGATATTCAATCCGCCTCTTTCTTTTGTAGTGGTAATTTGTTTCC